ACTTATGAAGTTCATCATTGCAAATTCTTCCTGCTCTCTCTCAATTCAATAAGTCATTGGCATGAAACTTTCAAATATTTGTGAGAGGAAACAATAGAATAGACTTATCAGTAAGAAATTACAGCTTGGTGAATACTCGGATGTATACAAATATATGTATATAATTCTCTATTTGCATGTTCGTTATATCGATTCCTCTTTTCATGAAACTTTTACATTTCACATATTCTGTAAATTTATACATAGAAAGTGATTAAAGCAATATCAACATATTATAGCAAGCCTTTAAAGCTATTCATTTACATTATACAAACTTTGTTTTCTTTTTTTCCACATAACGTTCATATCTGTCGCAGTACTCAAAATGTCAGTGAATATAATAAGAAGCCTGAAAAAATATCTGAAAATGATAAAGGATGATTCTGTATGTCTACATTCTTTAGATAAGAGTTTTAGTAGTATATGACAATACATTATTTGCAGAGTTGCATATACAGGGCTGTGTGAACAGGCTTGAAAATAATTTTGATGCTACTAGTATTCCAGTAGTTCTTTCTAAAACTAAAAATAAAATTTGATATGCTTTTAATAAAAAATAATGAGAGAGAATGATTTTTATCAAGGGTAACTGCTTCTTCTTCTTCAATTAGAATAGAAAATTTTGTGAGAAAGATCCTTCTTGAAATTTCTGAATCTAATTTTTTAGTTTTCATTACCATTTGTTTATTATAGGTATACAATCAAAGGGAAATAAATTGGCATAGCATACTTAAACCATAATTTTTAACTAAAGGTGAGCCTCGTGATTCACATAATAACATCAGCTTATAATTGCAGTTTCACTTCTCAGTTTTTTTATTAACATACATTAAGTACTTATGTTTAATATATATTGAAAGCAGTAACTCTTCAGATGCTAACTTTTTATTTGTTTCAAAACTTCATAGGCTGCCCACCAGACTAATGGTTAAAAAATCCAGTGTAAGATTTAAAAAAGAAAAATGTAAGAGCATTGAGCAGAAAATTGAGTTAGATATGAAAATTTACATCACCTTTCCTCAGTTTCGTGTACACTTTCTGTATGAACTTTATTTTATAATTAAAAAGATCTGAAATAGTAATACGCTTCATCAAAATACCGACTTCACAAATGTGATTGTACAAATCTTCAAACTTAAGGTTTTGTTTGTGAGATTGAAATGAAGCTGTCTAAATTCTCAAAACTGAAATAAAACTACCGGTTACAGCAGTTTTTGTAAGGATGGATAACAGCAGTTCTTGTTAGTATTTCTTTTTTTATGTATGTTTGTCACAGTATGTCTTCTTCCAGGATCAAGACATCAGCGTCATCAGGAGTGTAACTGCAACATATTATTGCCAAGCTTGATTAATGGAATTAGATATCCAGAGATCTTGCTTGCCCTGCCCTCCTTTGTTTATGCTTAAAAATCTCCTTTATATGTACAGGTGCTGTGTGTGCTTTAATAATTTAAAATTTTGAGAGTATTTTAAACTCGGCAAAACAAGCTGTTTGCTCTAAACTATGAAAACAGTTTTTCCTTCTCTTTTGTAAAATCAGAAATTGACTAGCAAAATAACAGCCATAGTAAAAGTGTTAAATAAGTACTATTTTTATTGTATGACATTTCCTTTTAAATATTTTTGGTGAATGAAAATGCCAGTGTAATTCATAGGTGTTTAATTCCCCTCTTTTGTACTGAAAGGAAATACCAAAAATGCTGGTAAAATAATTTTGCATTATAATTGAAATACTTTTTAAAATTCAGACATTTTCTGCCTGTTTTGGATGATATATTGAATACTCACAAAATGTACTTTAGGAAAAAGTATTTTAATATTAACCAATTTGATTGTAATTTTACTTCCAGAAAGAGGGGCAGCAATTTTTATAATATTAACCAATTCAATTTATGTTTCTGCCTTTAATAAATGCAACAGAAAAATTATAAACACTAAAGTGAATTATTCTGCTTTTCCAATTATATAAATATCACATAATTAAATTTTTATGAAGAAAAAATTTCCTTTTACTAAAGATTGTCTTTGCCTTCATACCAATTAAAATCTGTTTTCAGACTTACAGTGCCTGTAGCAATAGTGTGCTTTGCCATAACCAAGTAAACCGATTTATACTACTTTTTAAATTTTTTAAATATTCAAATTGCATTTTGATTCAAGTTTGAGTTATCCACCTAAAATTTTGACAGCCTTTCATAAAATTTTACATTTATTAGAAACTGCATTTGAGTAGCATAGTAAATTTTATTTTTATGCTGCATTTCAAACTGCTTTATTGCTTAAAAAATCTTCAAGTTCTGCAGGCATCACAATATGACTTCTTATGAAAAACTAGAATTTTTTCAAAGTTCATTATGCACTTTGTTGATACTCAAAAGCTGTATTTTTATTAAATAAAAGCTATTCTTTTATTTGTGATTTGTAGTTTTTTAATATTACAAATTTTCTTAAGCAAAACAGTTCTTTATATTTTTACCTTGTATAATTATGATTTGTTATATCTATTTGAATTTAGCAAATATTCTCTATTCGTATAAAGCTAATTTAAATTTAATTTTTTAAATTATGAAAAATCGATCGATTATTATTGCTGCAAACTAATTTACAACATCATTTAAATTCGGATTACATATGTAAATTAAATGCAAGAAGCTAAAACCATGAAAAAATATTTAATAATCCAAAATATTAATCCTAAAAATTTTAAAGAATTTTTTAAGACTAAATTTATTTGTATAAAGTGAATAATTGTTGAGCAGGCAGGAGACAGATCTTTTCAAGGGAAAGTTGCCTACAAACCTAACTCTTCAATTTTTCAATTCGTGTTTCGTCATCCATATAGTATGGTTATAGTAATATTCAAAACTAAAAGTGAAACTATATGTATTAAAATAGGAAATCCAAGGTAATTTAGAAAACCTTGCCTATTGGAAACTTCCCCAACATGAATTATGCATGTAAACCAAAATAAAAATACACAAATAATACTTAAAAGACTAGTAAGTTTTAATTTACTTTGTAACATGTTTCGTGTATGGGAAGTTTCCAGCAAGGGTTTCTAAATTACTTTGGATTTCTAATCTTAATTACTTTAGCAATTTGCTTACTAAATTTCTCGAAATTCTTTAATAGGTAAAATTTCTTTTTTAAGCAATTAGCTATATATGGTTTTACTTTTGGTTTTTAAATATTATTATTTCTATGACTGTATGGACAACGAAACACAAATTGAGTAATTGAAGAGTTAGGTTTGGAGGGAACTTCCCCTTGAAAAGATCTGTCTCCTGCCTGCTCAACAATTATTCACTTTATGCAAATTAATTTAGTCTTAAAAAATTCTTTAATAATCCAAAATATTAATCCTGAAAATTTTTAATATTGTTCATGGTTTTAGCTTATTACACTTAATTTACATATGCACTCTGAATTTAAATGTTGTAAATAAGTTTGCAGCAATAATTAATCGATTATTTTTCATAATTTAAAATTTAAATTAGCTTTATATATTCTGTATAAATCAGCTTTATAGAGAATATTTGTTAAATTCAAATTTCATTCCTTGCAGCAATGGCACAAGAGAATTATTTAAATTTAATTTAACTTTACTTTATTCTTATATATATTTTTGCTATGTTATCTTTCAGGCCAACATTTATACTTTTGAACATATTGTTTCAAAATGATCAAAAATATGAATCATCCTAATTACAGCTATATAACTAATGCAATTAACAGGAAAATGTTTTTAAAGTTTACTCTTTACGCAATTCTTATTAAACCTAAGTAAGATTAATTTAGCTTGCAATCTTCAAGAAAAATAAAAAGGTTACTTTTATACATTTAATTAGATGTATCAAGTTTATATATATAATTATGAATTAAAAGAATTTTCGTCTTTGTAAAACATTAGTTCTAAATTTCTTACTTTATATATATGTACTAATTAAAGCCTCAGCAACATTTTATTTGCTATTAAATAGAATTTTTAATGCCAAAAACTGACAGATAAGACTTTAAAATATGGTTTGAAGCAAGTCTCTCAAAATATGTAAAGCCTGGGTTAAAATTTTTCCAATTTTAATGAGAAAAATTGGTTTGCTTGTATTACATCCTGTTAGTTAAGTTTCTCCATGTAAATTCAATGATTGTAAGGATGTCAAATTGCTAACCATAGCATTAAAAAAATACAATATATATATATATATATATATTTTATTGCATTTATGTATAAGTGTAATTTATCAGTTATTGTTAATAATATCAAAGATTTTAAATTTTATAAATTAGAAATCATTTATAAACTAAAATTGAATAAGGTACAGGTGATCATGTTTTTTTTTAACAATTTAAGTAGTTCAGAGTTCCCAAGAATTATCTGTATTCATAATATGCTGTGAAAAAAATACAAATATCAACAGTGGAACAAAAATATGATGGGCACTTAAAAAATAATAACTGTAGAACTAGCTTTGGTTTTAAACATAATCGCAGTAATAAACAAAATGTAATTTTATTTGCCTGCATTAAATAAAGGGCTATTTAATAACTTTTTGTGTAGTTTTTAGGGGGTATTAAATGTATAATTTAATTACTTGTAGAATATTAACATACCAATTTAGATTATTTGAAAGTTGACATATTCAGATTTTTTGTTACTTCTTTTGTGTTTGTAAAGTTTGTGTTAAAAAAAAAAATAGAATTGTTTATAAAAATGATCAAATTTTGAATGTATCTATTTTACGGATACTTTTTACATGAAAAGTTACATTTCGAAATTTTAATCTTTGCAAAAGTATATAAAATCCTTACTTGTGTTTTGGCTATTTTAATTTTTATTGGTTTAGGCTTTATGTAAATGAATTAAAATTTTTAATGTTCTGTTTATTATTCCAAACATTTTTATTTCTTATATTTTTTCTAATATTAGAATAGATTTTTACTTGTTAAAAACTATTCCACAGGGTGGATGTATCTGAGGCACAATTCACTGTGATATTAATTCACCTGTTGACAGCTGTGTTTGGACAACACATATGGAGAACAGAGGTATATTTTTGTTTAAAATGTCTAATCTGATGTTAAATGCATTAAAGTAATATTTTTCATGCCAAAATCTTGTTTGCCATAAACATTAAATTATTAGTTAAGTAGTTACATGGAAGATCTAATCTTTAATTGCTATTTTTCTATTAACAAGCCATTGCTTAATATCGGAAATAAATGTAAATACAGACCTATCTCGCTCACCTGCATACCGTGCAAACTTATGGAGTGCATTATTCTCTCTAGGCTGATGAATTGGATCACAGAGAACAACATTTTGTACTCATATCAGACTGCATATAGAGCCAATCACAGCACCGTCGATCAGCTTTTCTGCCTTTGCCAATCGATTATTTACGGCTTTCAAAAAAACCCCATAAGAAAACCACCATGGTTCTTCTTGATCTTTCTGCTGCTTTCAACAGAGTCTGGAGGCAGAAACTGATCAACTTTTTACATGATACAGGCATTACATCTAATGCTCTAATCTGGATTAACAATTTTCTAAGGAAAAGAAGCTTTAAAGTCAGGGTTAATGGCAGTTTCTCTACCACTCGCCATACCTGGGCGGGAGTTCCTCAGGGCTCCGTACTTAGCCCTCTTCTTTTTCTTCTATACAGTCAAAAGTCATTAATCCGGACTCGTCGGGACTTCGGCAATTCCGGATTATCGATTTTTCCGGATTATAGATCATCAGTTTAAATCTGGTAAGATGGCATGCAGAAATTATAAAATTAAAAATATGAAACCGTAATTTATGAAATAAAGAACAATAATGATCTAAAATGTATTAAAATTTACAAAAAAAAAAAAAAAGCTTAATATTTATTTGTTTACTTTTTAAACATTTCTTTCAATGTAAGTTGTTTAAGTTGCTTCGCTTTTTATGTGATAATACTTTCTCTTTTTAATTCTATAAACAGACATAATTTCTTGTTCAGTTACAAAGTTCCGCTGTTCAAGTCCTGTAATTGCTGTGTCGAGAATACCGACTAATTTGTCAATCGAAATTTTTTTTTCAATAACCTCTGTTACTTTCTTTGCTATCGGAAGCGAATTATAATGACGAGGCATTTGATTTAAATCATATCAAAGACAGAGTACATCGAGATGAAATACTACATTGAGTAAACAATTATAAGCCAAATAAAATAAAAACATCTGCCCTTAAAATAAGGATAGTGCTGACAGATCAACTTCCAATTCATTGCATGCCGCCGCGGCGTTAAAGATAAACAAAGTTTAGATAAGCAAAGGATATGCCTTTATCCATTTTTTGCAGCAATTCCACTTTTTGTTTAATGGACTCCGAAAGATACTTTCGCTTTGTATATCCTTTACATATTAGTAAATATATATCAGAAATTCTATTTGACATAATCGAAAGTTTAAGCTTACTTTTATAAAATTGCTCCGACAGTCTGCAAAAAATAATAATCCGGATCCAATTCGAAGATGAAGGAACAACGCAATCTGCAACATTAACTGAATTTGATAATTTTAGCTTAGCTTAGCTTATACCGTACGTTATACATTAAACGCGCATGAGTAAACTTTTTATGTGAACCCGCACATGCATATTCGCAGCCATAAAGGTCATATGCGCACACGTAAACGCGACGCATGCGCAGAAAGTTTGTAGCTTTGAGGTCCGAATTAACGACTTTTGACTGTACACGAATACGATTGAACCCCACATCAGTAAAGAAATCAAAGTTGCTTGTTATGCCGATGATTTTGCAGTCTGGCACACCCACTCAAATCTCGAAATCTCACAAAAGGCTCTAAACATCTGTATGAAAGGCATTGAAATCTGGTCAAAAGATCTTAAAATTAATCTAGATAAAACAAACTTTTGTGTCTTAACAGATAGAAAAAGTAAAGGCTCGTTTCATCCTATTATAAAGCTATTAGGTTCTGAAATCAAACAAACTTCTAACCCCAAGTATCTTGGATTGACTCTGTATGCAGAGTTGAGATTCTCTCAAGACCTTGAACATGTTTCAATAAAGGCACTGAAAAAGCTAAACATCCTTAAAAGACTTTGTGGTGCCTCTTGGGGATCAAGACCAAAAACCCTCAAGAATACTAACACTTCTATCGTCAGGTCTGTTCTAGAATACGCAGCACCCTTATGGGCATCGGCAAGGCCTACTGTTAAAGGAAAGATCGATGCTGTTCAATATAGTGCTTCTAAAATCATCACTGGAGCTGTTTCATCAACGAATAACATCAAAATTGAAAAGGATGCGGCCTTGCCCCCTTGGAGAGCAGAAGAAAATTAATAACAATTAAATTTACCAACAAAATGCAAACCCTTGCTGAACATATTTCAAGTTGAACCTTTAGGAGTGGCTAAGCATGGAGTGACAATTGGAGGCTTAAGAGATTCTCAACCCTCCAACATGACCAAGATATCAGAAATTACGTCTACCTCAAATATGAGACTCTCAAAATTTCCAAAGAGCCTTACAACATTCTGTGCCCTCTTCCCCAAACAAAAATTTATTTAAATCTCTTACAGCCTTGTACCAAGAAAGATCCCACCGTAATAATCAAAGAAAAGGGTGACCATACCATTGAGGAACTCATGACCTTAATTCAAGATCTGACGATCGCTTACACAGACTGCTCTTCAGACTCCAGTCTGAACAGAGGAGGAGCGGGAGTCTTTTTCATCGGACCAGATGGAGTGCAGAAATGCCACAGTATTTCTGTTGGGAAAATCGCCTCCAATTATACATGTGAGCTCGTCACCATCAAAAGTGCTCTGGAGATTTATCTCTCTAAAGAAGACCAGAATTCCAAGGGCATCATCATCTTCTCTGACTGCAGATCAGCATTGCAAGCGACCCAGAAGGGGAAATGTCAACTCAATCATCAGATCATTGAGCTCACAAACAAAATCATTGCTGCCCAAAAATGCTGCATCTTACAATGGATATCAGCTCATGTAAATATTTTTGGTATTGAGAAGGCCGATGAGCTTGCAAAGGCATCCCATGATTCTCCTCAGCCATCCAACTGCCTAACCCTCATTGATGCCAATGCAGTTGCCAATCAAAGACTAATTGGTCAAGTTAAAGGAAACTCCATTCCGGAATTGAACTGTGACAGAGCCATATCGACTATCATAACCAGACTTAGGACAAATCACTTAAAAGGGATGAGGATTTCTGCTGACGAACAGCATAGTTACACCAACATTGCCCAGATGACATCTCACTGTCTCGCCATTACATCTTCAGCTGTCTAGCAATCCAGGCCAGACTGTTTAACATCGGCATTGAAGACCCAGTGGACCTACTTTATACTGATAGAGCTGCCGAGGTTGCAAAAGCTGTCTTTGACAGCTTCGAAGCTATATAATTGCACTTTGTCATAGACACAACATTATCATCATCAAATGTTAGTGTAAAATCTAACCAGATGGCAGCAATTTGAGCAATTCATGAAGAGAATAAGTGTCCTGTATATAATGAATATTATAATGTTAAATGTGTGCATTGCCAAATTTGTGCAATCCTCTAAAAATTTTTCAGAAAAAAAGGATAGTTAATGGTGAAGCTTTCCGTCTGATGTTGTCGTGGGAAAGTCACCTGGATTTTTAAATTTTCGTCAGAAATATAACTTTATCATGTTGCTTAGTTAATTAAAATAGCTGAAAAAAAGGTGGCTTTATATAAATTATTTTCACTTTTTAGGCTTTTTACAGATATTTTAATTAACTTTGTGCATAAATAAAATTGAAAGAACCGAAGAACAAACTAACATTTTACAAAAATTTAAATGCCGATTGAAATCTACCACTGTCATGATAAATTGAGAAGGGGTTCTTAAGATAATAATTAATATTTTACCTAGGCTGAAGTATTACTTTATTCGCGTTTCAGAGCAAAATATGTAACCATCAACTTCTATATCTCTAACATATGTAAATGAAATAGTATATAAATTAGTTAATAAATGTGATAAAAAATATTTCATACAAGAAACATACCTAAAACTTATAACAAAAAAGCCTTCCAACATTCATATTTGAAATGAGATAACGTAACAAACAACATACACAACTGGCAATAAAAAAAATAAAATGCACATAAATGATAATCATAATTCCCATTATCCTAAAATTTAGAAGCTAAAAATATGTACATACACCTGCATATGATTGAAAGAAATAGTGTTCAGAAACATCAGCATTACTACTAAATATTGTAATCCGCTTTTTTGTTATAAGATTTAGGTATGTTTCTTGTATGAAATATTTTTATAACATTTATTAGCTAATTTATATAGTATTTCATTTACATACGTTGGAGATATAGAAGTTGATGGTTATATATTTTGCTCTGAAACACGAATAAATTAATATAGGTAAAATATTAATTAGTAAAATATTAATTATCTTAAGAACCCCTTCCCAATTTATCATGACAGTGGTAATTTTCAATCAGCGTTTAAATTTTTGTAAAATGTTCATTTGTTCTTTGGTTCTTTCAATTTTATTTATCCACAAAGTTAATTAAAATATTTGTAAAAAGTCTAAGAAGTGAAAATAATGTATATAAAGCCACCTTTCTTTCAGCTATTTTAACTAACTAAGCAACATGATAAAGTTATATTTCCGACAAAAATTTAAAAATCCAGGTGACTTTCCGACGATAACATCGGACGGAAAGCTCCGTCATGTTTATAAAGTGTCATTGCCTTCTCCCTCTCGAAGGTCACGTATAAACAGGCTACAATACTTGGCTACTGGTGTGGCATCAAAGGAAAAATACTGTTTTATTTCATTACCATATCTAAATAGCTTTATATGTAATTATTCTTTATTCTAAAAAAATAAATAAGCCAATGTTTCTCTTAATGCTTAGTTTTCTTTTACTTAAGTGATTATTTTCAGTCTCCTTAGTGTTTAATGTTATTACAACCAAGTATACTTCAGACAACATTTTAATCGCTCAAAAGGTGAGGTGTATAAAGGAATTAAAGCTGTAAGAAAAGTCATTTCTTCTTAAAATTGTTGAACTCTGATAGTATTTAAACAAAACATGTTTATTTGGCTATGGGAACAAATTACGATTAAATTTGATCACTATTACATAATTAAGTATTTTCAAAATTGGTTGTATGAATTTTTTAATTAGCCAGTCAATTTTCTGTGTACATGTAAACAAGAAATAATTGTAAGATTTTTTTCTGTTTGTTTGAAATTACACATGCATAATTAGTTTCTTAATATTCTGTTACAAATCAAAATATAATGTCTATTTTTTCAGGTCCTCTTTGGACTCGAACTACGCATGATCGTTGGAATGTGTACTGTGCTATCGCTGTGTGGAACAATTATAGCAAATATGGGATATATCTTGGGAAATAAAACTCCACTTGACGACTTTATCCAAATTCCAAGGAAAAAGGTATTTTTGTATTTTAATTGTTTACAATTGTTATCAAAGATGATTTGTGTAGTGTGATTTCATATTTGTTACTGAGAAATTTAATATTTTGTAAGGCATAAAACTTTTCATTCAACTTTAAACCAAACATTCAAGTTTTTTATTTGGTTTTTAGTGAAATTATGATTAATGACATTATCGTGTAGTAGGACCCCAAATTTCTGGACTAATTTGAATTACAATCATCTGGTTATAAAAAGTATCTGAGAAACTGGAGAGTTATGTTAATTGTGTATTTACTGCAAGTGACAGCATTATATTATTTCACTTATCAAATTGCATTCAATGAAGGTTGGATTGTTAAAAATTGCTGTGAAACTTCTTGTGGTAGCCTATAAAAGTGACCAGTATTTTTTTAGAATATAAAATAAGTATCGATGATTAGAATATTATCTAAGCTCCATAATTCAACAAAGAACATCAAATCAATCAGCATATTAAAGTGATCACCTGAGTTTGTCATTTTGCTATCAAATTATGTTTTGTATTAATCAAATCAAGAACTTAACATTTTCAATTCTTATTGTTACTCAGACCTCTTTAAGGAAAACACTATTTAATATTTTTTTTCTTTTCTCAGGATGGTGTATTTATCATGAAAGCTTGATTTGGTATACCTGTGATTAATAGTATTCTTAAACTAGTCTTACTAAATTTTAGCATTTCCTAACTTATAACAAATGAGTGTTTAAATGGGCAGACCCCCCCCCTCCAAGTCCTGCTATCCTGCCTCAACGGGGTGAGGGTTGACACTGGGCAAATGGGTGAAGTACGTCGGGAGCATAGCTCTTAGTAGGGTCACCCTAGGTGTGAAGGCTGTTTCAACATGCCCAGCTAAAGCATAGCAGGTGAAGATCCTTCAAGGGATTACCGTCTTGGTGATTAGGTGTCACAATCCTGAAGCCCCAGTGATCTCTCTTCCTTTCTGCATTCTTTCATCTCAACTGTAACTTTTCTCATTTTCCTTCTCCCTTGTGGTTTCCTCTTCTGAAGTTCAGGCTCATCATGAGAAACTGGAACAGCCTTGTCTTTAGTTTTTCGAGTGGCGAGAAAACTGCCCATGTGTTTCCCATGCGTGGAGACCTGTATCACTGGAAAGGAGGGTCCTGGTAGTTGAGAGGCGAGGTACTGTCCCCAACATACTACTTTGGCCTCTGCTTCAGTTAAACAGGAGGCACCTTGTTGTCCTCACAGCTGTCAACCGGCTGGTCACTAGTCCTTGTGTCAGTGTCTTGGGGACAAGCTCTCGGGAGTACCTGCTTTTGGGAAAGCTGACTGTAGGACTTCAGTTTGCATATAGGTCCGCCTAGCCCTATCGTAAGAATCTGCATCCCCTTGTTGGGCTCCATGATGGGTGGGACGGTCGGACCCAAATCTTTTTCCATTTAAATATGAATGCTTTGATACCTTCCTGCTTCAACAATGTACCCGATACTCCGATTGTGACCAAAAGACTAAGCAGCGACATAGGAGGCACTGTATCAGATGTATTTTGTCCATGTTTCTTAATTATAACCAGCTCTGAAGAATTGAAAAAATATCACCCTTTTTAATAAACAAACTTCTTTTGTCTTCTGTAGGAGAACTGAAAAATATTGAGACTTTGGTCTGGAGACCTTTTGATAGAAAACTGTGTCTGGAAAGCAGTCTAATAGTCTTTTGAAACTGATTAAATTAAGACAAGCAAATGTTGAAGTTAAGCCACATAATACTCTGAACTCATTCTGAGGAGTAATCTCTGAAATAGGCTTACTATCAGTAACTGAAGAGGAATTCGTTAAAGAGTATGCAGATCAAAACGTATTTGGTGCTCGTATGATCAAAATACCAAAAGACGGTCAACTCATTCCCACTTAACATGTTCTACTTACTTTCAAGTCTCCTAACCTGCCTAAAAACATCAAAGCTAAACTGTTCAGTGACGCCGTATATACAGAGTCTGATGCGTTGCTTCCAATGTCAGCGCTTTGAACATGGAAAAACTTCTTATCGTGGTAGCCTCACGTGCGCTCGATGTCCCATCATAGGCCATGCCAGTGAAGGCTACTCTGCTGCTCCCTTATGTATAAATTGTAAAGGCGAGCACCCAGCTTTTTCAGGATCATGTCCAAAATGGCAGACAGAAAAACTAATTCAAAGCATTAAAGTTACACAAAAGATATCATTTGCAGAAGCCAAAAGACTTGTTCTCTCTAATCAGCCAAAACCTAATAAATCTTATGCATCCGCAACAAAATCATTCTCATCAATATCAACGCAAAACACAATAATCGCACAGAAAAAAGAATCGCACAGAAAAATGACAAAAGATCCTAGAAACCAAAAATCTAGTAAAAAAAACCTGATGTTGAATGTAATAAGCCGATGACTGCGTACAGGATTCATAGCAGTCCTTACAAGTGTTCATAAGTCCTCATATTTGAAATTAAAATATAAAGGCCCTTATAGGTGCTTACTTTTTCTTTAAAGCCCTTATTTTGTTTGTTTTTAGTGCTTATTTTTTGCTTTTAATGCTTTTTTAATCCTTTTTTTTTTTAATGAACATGCATTTTTTCCCCCGTACCAAAGCCGAAACTAAATAAACAACTTTTCTTAATTATATGCAACGTCAGATGGTGAATCATCTCCTGGAAATTGCGTTTCCCCCTTTCTCTGCATTAATGTAACCTATGGAGCGCGCGAGAGTACAGGCAGGTGCACATCGTTATATGGTCAAAGAATTGCGAAAACGGTAGAAAATTCCGGTACATTAGGTATTCTTTTCCTTCCACCCAAATATTACACACCTTTGAATTTCTATCAAGATTCTAATAATTTGCATTCTTGTTCTGCGTGGTCAGTTCATATTCGTGTTTATTATGATCATTATGCTTATATTATGAGCATATGCATGAATATTTATAATATAGTTGCAGTAACTGGTGAAGTATAGATACTCTTCCAAAAAATGGGTTGTTTTTACACAGATTAGCTTTCTAAGGAATAATATTCGGAATGGCTTAAATAAAAGGAAAGTAATCGAATAGTCAAAATAATTTATATTTTTTCTGCCAATACATTATACAGTATGGAGGTTGGGAGGTTCTCCCCTTTCTCAGCAAAATCTCTAATATTGAAGCAGTGGACTTTTTTTTGTCACTGTCCAATCTGGATTGAATAGGACTAAAAGTTTTTGCGGTCTACCCAACCCAAGCGAAGATTTCACAAAATCTGTAATATTGAAGCAGCGGCCTTTTTTTTTTTTTTTTTTTTTTTTTTTTTTTTTTTTTTTGTCACTGTCCAGTCTGGATTGAATAGGACTAAAAGTTTTTGCGGTCTACCGAACCCAAGCAAAGATTGATTCTATTCCGAAAATTTAACGCAGTCTGTTGAAAATTGGAATTGGAAACACCCCAGATTAGTAAGTCTCTTTCTTTTCCTTTATTTAGTTCTTTATTCTCCGAATACCGGCAGCTGTTGATTCCGATTGCGTAATATCACGTGTGGAAGAATTATGCCGCACGTATTGCCCAATAACGTTTGCCGTATTTTGCAGAGATAATTAATTTTGATGTTCAGTCTGAGATTTGTTAATGAGCACTTAAGAGTTTTACTGTGCATTCTAAGCAGAATATTTCTCAGTTCCATTGGTCTATTTTTATGATGCACATATCGAAATGTCAAAATCATTTATTTAGCCGAGAAATCTAAAGAACACCTACAATCTTCCCCACTCCTCTTTTTCCAGTTATTATCCGGAATATTCGGCAATTTCCGAGTATGCGGGTTAGTTAAGCTTTTACTGTTAAAGGATGACTGCATGAAGCAATTTCCCCGTCTTCTAATTTCAGAAATGTGCCTCTTTTTTACTTAAATTACTTTGCTTGGAATATATGTTAAGAGAAAATGTTATGCAATGAAAATTTAGAAAATGTTCAGAATTTTGATTTAAGTTAAATTATTTAAATATTAATATGAGTGGAAAAATAAATTGTATTTATTATTAGGTGCCAAACGAATACCATTAATATGGCTTATTATTATTTATTTTTTATATTTTGAACTGAAATTTCATCATTAAATCTTGTAATATAGTTTAGTTCTGCATATTTTTTTTCTGTCGTAAACTAGTTCTGTAAATTGAACTGTCATTTAAAGTTTAAAAAAAAAAAAAAAAGTTAATTGTTTTCCATGGTTGAGGTAATGCTCATTCTCTTAATAAATATTGCATTGCTCATATTTTAAATTACAAGTCTAATTTTTCTTTTAAGATTATGCAGTTGTGTATAATGTAATTAGGCAGGTGCTTATTTTTTCCTTAAAATGTGCTTGAAAAGTGCTTATAGATGCTTATTTTTTTAACTAAAATGTGGCTACGAACCCTGTGCGTAGGATGTCCAATAGAACAAACATAGATATGTTATCAAGGAGACAAATAAGCAAAAACCCATGTCTCCCAGACAAAGTTGTATTGCAAGCATGAGTTCAGAATGCCTAGATGACTCGTACGAAATGGATGTTGAACAAGGGTTATCCCTTCCGAAACACCTTTTGCCTCGAAAATAAAAAAAAAAAAAAAAAAAAAAAAAAAAAAAAACCACCAAAACAAACATCCATCGTAAGTACCTTTATTTCGTGGAATTGCCGGGGTTTCCGTCAAACCCTGGATAATATCAAGGATTTAACCAACATATATCAACCTGCCTGCATTGTTTTTGTTCAGAAGACCTTGTTAAAACCAAACAGACATGCTAAGATACAGAGATATACCACAGTAAGAAAGGGCAACTCATCTGGAGATCGTGCCTGTGGTGGTGTGGGTTTTATTGCCTCCCACAAACACTCATACACTGCTTTCCCTTTGACGATCCCCCTTTCAAGCTGTGGCGATTCAGATTAATTTACGCTCTTCAATCTTAGTATGCATTATTTATTTATTCCTACATGAGCATGTTGATCAGCGAGAGTTGGACGGAATAATA